TTATTGTATAAATGTCCTATAATTTTAGGGGTTCATGATTTTAAGATAGAAATGCTAAAAATATACGATAAATTATTCAAAATTTCAGATGACGTTCGGAATAGGAATTTTTACGACATTGCCTGGAGTGCGGATGTTCTGCTTATATACATGCTTACAAGTCACATTCACTTACATTTACCAGGTAATGCTCAACTATTACATTGCAAATTCATAGTTGATAATTTTCAATTTCTAGCTAACTTTCTTTTCGCCTGTACTTGCTTATGCGGCTGAAATGGAGAACAACGGCACCCATTCTCTTCTATTTAGGAAAGCCATGGAGCCAAACGAAACGAGTGAATTTTTACGTACAGAATCAAAATAAATTATCAAGAATTTGCTTCAGCTTCAAGGTGGAAGTTATTCTTCTTGGGTGGTTCCGTGAGCAGAAAATCTTTGGAGAGTACGAAAGTCGTGCCGCAAACAACAATTCCAGGTACTGCTCAGTGGCTAAAAAATCAAAGATTACAAAATAATTGATAGCCAGTAGCGGACATCATTCAGATGCGCTGCATCAATGTAAAATGAATTTTTGGTACTTTCATTATATAATAGTTAGTTATGGAGTGTCGATGCGATGTCTGCTACACTGATGATATCCTAAAAGTCGATGCCCGCACAATGTTTGGTTGGTGTCGGTGTTAGAAGAGATTTTGGTATAGTAGCAACAAATCTTGTTATTTATCCCCATGCCTTACGTAATAATGACGAAGTTTGCTTATAAGCAAATAATAACAACTGTTTTCGCTTGTACCATGATCTATCGCAAAATTCTGCAAAACGGACCTCTAAATGGTTGAATGATTTTGAGAGCAAGAGACTGTTTCAAGTTCCAAAACAGGCGGCATGCTACCTAACTAAGGCCAAATGGATTTTCAAAATTAGGGGAGTTTCTGTTTTAATTGCTCGAATCATGACGTAACATCGCAAAGACTGCATGGTTTGTAAAGCAAACATAGCTGTCAAACCATTCAGAATGGCAAAACGGAACCTATCTCTTTTAACATCGAATTAAATTTTCCTGTAAAGGTTGGACGATTCACATGAAATCCTCTCCAGAAAAAATGTCGAGGGGTTTTCACTTACCAAAGTTATTGAGATCATCATGAACAAAGAACTTTGTGAAGTTACATATGAAGCTATATGTGGAAAAGTTCCTGAGGTTGCGTGCTTATAACGGGATACAGTAAAGTTGGTGATTCAGAGCTCAAAAAGAAGCCAAGTGGATGGAAATCAAAACTGAACATGGCGGTCAGGAAGATGGAAACAAAGCTTGAACACCATGAGCAGGTAGAACTTTTGCTCCCGCTGACGACATCAAGTGATTTTGGCTGATTTTGTTGTTTAGAACGTTAACATTGTACCACATGAGGAGACTTTTGTCAACAAACTGTTTCGAGAGATTATTGGACCATTCATATTGGAACGGAGCACTCAAGTAAGGCTTTTCCGGGGCTTTTTCGTTGCCTGGCATGGAAAAAACCGAACATTTTTGTTTAGATCTGCGCAACATTGCTTTACCTCGTTTACATAGTCCTGGCAATTTTTGGTTGCTTGAACATGCAGGAAGGTTTGGATCCAAAGTTTCTTGTTCGGGAATCTTTCTATCTCAGCAATTTTTACAAGCTCATTGATGAGAGTTTTTGGCAGGAAGGTGAGGGAATTTTTGAGCTAATTCTTTCATCAAGCTCTGTTTAACTTAGGTCTGCAAATGCAGGTGGTTGTGAATCGGCCACCAGATCTTTTCAACTCGACAACAAGGGCGGAATTTTCCAAAATGATGAACGGTTGGTCTGCGTCCTCAACGCGATCTACTACCATTTATGCGTAGCATACACCCTTTGTGTAGGGGACTATATGTCGCCGAAAGAGGCGGACATCTGCAACAAATACACATTCCAATACATGCAC